TTACATTCTAACTTTGGGTCATGAGGGGTACCACATGAAAAATTTTCATCAAAATCGGAGGGGGTCATGCTCCAGCCTCTGGCTGATTTGAGATTGAATTACCCTTAGTATAATTCATTGTACTTTATCATCATTTTACAAAAGATAAATTACCCTTGTGTGTGCATCTGTTCTGCCATTCTTGTACCTTGCCCCCCCCCCCCCCCCCCCCCCCCCCCCCCGGGAATAAACCAGCGGACGCCCATGATGATGTCCTTCCCTACTGAAGTCATGCGAATTTGAGGACTACATGTCAAACATATGAAGTCAAAAGTGCGTTTTGTCCTGACTGCAAAGTATGACAGGGAATCAAGTCAAGAAGTTAAGAAAGGTGAGAATAGCAGCATTGTGTCTCTTCACATGCTTGGTTGTAATGCTGCAATGGAGGTTCGTGCATGGGACGGTAGGGGCGCCACCCACCAAAGTTCCCTTCAGACTTTTCTTTCCGTTTCTTCATGCGAATGAGATACGCGTGACAACCAGGCTGTTCCTCACCATTGCGAGTGAAGAGATTGGAAACGAAATCTGGATCGGTGATTGATTAATGAATTTGATTTTCTCGGTCGGCGCGGTACGAAGAATATGCCCTGGTCTGCGCTATCCCGCACAGTAGAGAAAGCCTAGCTGGGCGAAACTCGGCACCACCCCCATCATGCATGCGCAGTTTGGATCTTTTTTTTTTATTTACAGGGTGTCTCAAAAAAAAGTCAACAAGCTGCAATCATGAATTTTTCCTACATTGTATTGAACTTGAATCAAATATTTTTGAGTCAGTTAGAAAGAAAATAATCAAATTTCTTCTGCCGAAAACCACATGAAAATCGACTATTTCCGAAGCGTGATATGGAACAGTGAAAATTAAACTCAAATTAATTTACATATCATCACTAAAGAACATGATCAAGATGTGCTTAAGGTGTGTGTATTCAAGGTATGTAAGGTGAGATTGAGAGATGGGTCACAAAGTAGATTCTTTCATTCAATGGATACTGCGGCATTTTTGCTGACATACGCTCAAGAACTAGCAATTGAGTGAAGTGTCTCCTGGCAGTAGACATGTGGATCGCTAGCTTCTTCGAGTGCTTGCATGGCAGATTCTCTCATATTGACTGCTTGCCAGACATCCTGTTCACCAGGATGTCTGAATTTGACTGATGTAAACTTTATCTTTCTTTAGCTTGCTACTGAGTGCATTGATCTTCGTGCAATCTTTAGAAACAAAAAGCTCTTTTCATTTTAACTGCCAAAAAAAATTTCATTCAAATATAATATAGTACTAGCGCCTTCGGCGCCCCTTTACCTTGTATAGTGTAATCACTATTCATTCATTTTTTGCGAAATGGGAAACACGTATTTGAAGTACGTCCCCATTGAACGTGACATATGGGTTCGAAAGTCTTGATTTTTATCAAAATCAATACTTATATGATTCTATGTGTGCCTAACTTTAAACTTTTTCTTGTGTCCCATTTTGTAAGTCTGGAGAATACATTTTGAAATACTTCCCTCCAATAATCTATGCTAAGGAGATATATTTCAAAAGTAGGATTTCTCCTGTACTCAGCCATTAAACAGATACTTCTGTGGGAGATTGTATTTTTTGTCTCTGTTTTATTACATCAAAAAAAAAATTCAGAAAAATGGGACTGAAAAAAGTGCCCTGATGGGTTTTAACGAAAATTTGTTTTCTTTTGAAATGTAGACTCAGGGAACTCCATGCCACCAAGTTTCAGCCTTATACGTTTCCCCTTTTTGCTGGCGGAAAAAAATTTATTTGTAAAAGAGACCCACTCAAAAGCTATGCTTTGAGGAGACGCACAAAAAAAGTTGAATTTTTCCTTAAACCAACATCACGTCCGTTATGCGTGCGCCAGCTACTTTTATATTTCTGCCTGATTCAGTAGGATATGATAACATATTTGAAAACGCGACGTCCCCAGTAAATATAAACACAAAAAATATTTTGAAAATTTACCGTTTGACATTTGAGCTCAGTGCGTCAACGGTCACGTTCTTGGCAAGTTTCAGCTTTCAAGGTGTCTCCGTTTGAAGCAAAGAGAACTATTTGAAAATATGTTCCCCGAAAGGTGGCATGCATCACCACTTTTGCTGAACTCAGCATGCGAATAGCTACTTATGTCAGTCAGTCAGCTACTCACGATCGTTCTTACATAATAAAAGTAATAAAAGTATAATTTCTTCTTTACTTAGCTATCTATCAAGTACTTCTTTGCCAAGTTTAAACTTTGATGCGACCTCTGTTTTGCTGGATCAGAAAATTCCTGAATTTCGTGTGCAAAATGTGTGCCGTGAGTCGTTTTATTTTTTTATTATACTGAAATCCATACTCAGTGAACTACATGCCCACAACGTTTCAATGCTATACGTTTTGCCCTGTAATGTAGCCTCAAGGAACTCCATGCCACTCAGTTTCAGCCTTATACGTTTCCCTTTTTTGCTGGCAGAAAAAATATATTTGGAAAAGCGACCCACCCAAAAGCTGTGCTCGGGGGAGATGCACAACAAAAGCCGAATATTTCCTTAAATGAACATCACGTCCGTTATGCGTGCGCCAGCTACTTTTCTACTTCTGCCCGTTTCGGTAGGAAATGAAAAATTATTTGAAAGCGTTACGTCCCCAAGAAATATGAACCCCAAAAATATTTTGGAAATTTGACGTTTGACATTTGAGCTCAGTGCGTCAGCGGTCACGTTCTTGCCAAGTTTCAGCTTTCCATGTGTCTCCGTTTGATTGAAGCAAAGAAAACTATTTGAAAATATGTTCCCCGAAAAGGTGTGCCCTTTTGGCATGCATCACCAAAGTAGAATCTTTCCTAGACTCAGCATGCGAATAGCTACTTATGTCAGTCAGTCAGCTACTCACGTTCGTCTATGTATAATAAAAGTAGAATTTTTTCTTTACTCAGCTATCCATCAGGTACTTCTTTGCCAAGGTTAAACTTTCTAGCGCCCTATGTTTTCCTAATCAGAAAATTCGGGAAAATACGCCATTTGCAAAATATGTGCCCTGAGCCCTTTTTAACGGAAAAGTATCTTCTTTTTTTTTTCTTTTTTTTTTTTACCGAAATCCATCCTCAGTGAACTACATGCCCACAAAGTTTCAATATTATACATTTGCGCTTTCCGCTGGTGAAAAAGCATGTTTGGAATAACCGACCCACCCAAAAGCTATGCCCGGAGGGGATGCACCATGAAAGCTGAATACTCCCTCAGCTCAGTAATATCATGTCACTTAAACGTATTCCAAGTTTCACCTTTCCAATTCGCCACGACAATGTTTTTTTCGAAAAATCGCACCTCGAAAAATTTCCCCCAGGGGATGTATCGAGACTTAACATTTTTATTTAACTCCTTGTCCAAGTTTCATGCAAAGTTTCAGCTTTCCATGTCACTCCGTTTTACTGAAGCAAAAATAATGTTATGAAGGGGGAATGAGTAACGGAACATGGAAGGCAAAAAAAGCCAAAAGAAAGCCTAGGAACGGCCAGGAATTAAACCCGGACCTTTTGATTGCCAGTCAGATATGCTACTACTACACCACCGAACCCTGTACATCCAGTTAACTCTCTGAATGCCATCCTCATCTGTCACAAAATATATTTCAGTAAAACCTTTCCCCCCAAAATGTGTACCCCCAGGGCATGTACCTCCAAAGTCGGATTTTTTCTGAACTCTACATCCCAAAAGGTACATGTGTACCAAGTTTCAGATTTCTAACCCTTCTAGAACATGGTTAGAATTAGCGTCAGTCAGTCAGTCAGTCAGTCACGATCGTCTATATATATATTAGATAAGAAAAATAAATTATTGCAGCGTTAACTCTTTTGTTGGGACACCCTGCACATGTATATCATTTCTCCTGCATGAAATCTTAATTGAAATGAAAATATTTCAATTTCAGTTAAGCCCCTTAATGCAACATCTTGAAAATAATCATCTCGTGGAAGTGAGTTAAAAAATATTAGAATGAGTTCTGACCAGATCAACTCGTCCAACACTGAATGATATAGACAACTGCACGAGACAAGTTTTGTGCATCACCTGTGGTTGGGGAAACAAGGAAGGAGGAATTTTCCCCTTGAGACTGAGTATTCCACTTTATCAACAAAGAAACATACAGTGCTCAGGCACACATGATCCAGGAATTATGTGAAACGTAAAAAGTGCATTGGATGAGAGGAAGCAAGGGGACCCCCATCTTCAAATGTGCTGTTCATTCGTCTTTCCAATCTGCACCCTCAGGCTGAAGGAGTTGTTCTGCTGCAGTTGACGTGTCTGGAGGTAGAACCAAGAGAAGCTTCTGCCACGCCACTTGCAACCATTCTACAAAGGAGAGAGGAAGGATCTGGTACTTCAAGGATCTTGAGATCATGACAGGAAATCTCTGGATCTGGAGAACCTACTGAAAGATGAAGATATCCGGGCTGCCAATCGGCTCTTGTACACAAACAAGAAGTACACGGGTATCCCGGAGAGTGTAATCAGGGCACCCATTCCTGCAATAATATCCAAAATGGAATTATCCATTCTTTAGAAAGTGGTACTAGAGGAAAAAAAAGTGCCAGTGGTAATGTCATACTGATTCACGAATGCTGAAGGAGTCAGATCCATTGATGCCAAACTGTTATACTGTGAATTCCCATGCTATTTTAAAAGTCCAGAAATGCTGAAATCTAATTTTGGAACAGATGGACAGTAGAAGCAGATATCCCTTTGAAGCTTTATCCTAGAACGTAAGCATGTAAAGTTCTTGAGGAAAATGAGGAATGAGAAGGTGCTGAAAATGAACCAAGGAGAAGCAGAACAGCCCCATAGCCATAACGTTACCAGTCAATCAGGAAGGAAAACAGAGGCGTCTCCTTTTCGCATGCATTATCTGATAGTTCTCTTTCCAAAAATCCACCCGTAGACGTTTTATTTCAGTCAGGCGGGAGAGTCTCGTGGAGTCACACCACCACGTGGACTTTATTATCTCCATTCCCAGGCTCAGTATCATCCTAGGTCTCGATTGGTTGGGTTGCCTCTACAGTCGAATGTATCAAGGAATTCAAATACCTCCCCCAATGTCGTCTGTGCTTGTGAAGAAGCTTGTTCGATTCTGTTCATTCCTAACTCTATCATGACAATCATGATTTCTATCATGACCTAAATATGCCAGAGAAATGTGAAACAGAATAGGATTGGATTATGGAGCAAAGTCCCAGCAAAAAATCGTGTGCTCTTCAAGAGGGCAAGTGTGAAACAGGAATTGATGATACCACAATGTGCTCCAGCAGATATCACATGATGGATCCAACGAAAGCATGACAAGCAAAAATGGACAAGATATCTTCTTACATGCGAATCGTGATGGCCAAGTCGCATGCACATAGAGATACGATTCTCGCCTGCATGAAAAAGCAATCAACTAAATGCGCATGAATAGGATGCAACTTTCCAGGTCCGCACAAGATCCACTCAAGATCACATCAGAGATTTAGCTCTCCGGACACCAGCGGACGACCTTTCCAGATGAGCCATCATGATCTTCCATTTCAACTGAATTATCCATAAGCTGTACGGTTGAGGCATTCCAAAATAAATGGTGACATGCACCAAATCCGTTTAACTTTAAACTGATCTGGTTTCATCATGGATGTGTATGGGGATAAGATTATCCTCGTCAAACGGATTCCCAGCGGACCATTGTGAGATCAGATTAGTTTAAGTTAAACGGATCTGGTGCATGTCACCCAAAGTCTTGCTGCATCCCATGGACGATGTCATCCACAACCTTATCTGATTAAACATCCTTATAAACCAGAAATCCTTCATATCTCTTGAAGATTAGCCAGCTCTGGAAAGTGAGCAAGCACTTACTTGAAACTACAAACTTCAAGTGAAAGAGAGACTTCATAATTAGAAAGATGTCATTAAAATTGGTTGGTGTTTCTGAAAAAACTTTAGCCAGAAATGCTGCTAAAATTAATAGCCTAAATGTAACTCATGCATTTATGGAATCAACGTTCAAATATAAACAAATTTCCTTTCGCATTAAAGGAACAAAAGAGGGAAAAGACAATAGCATTCCTGAAGGAGGCATCAATTCGACAGTTGTTGAAGGGTAACAGTTGTCAGCATTCGTGGAGGTGATATTCTAAGTACCAACCCACCTGTGGGTTTGGGGTCGGAGATGAGCGGCATGATGATGAGGAAGAGGCAGGCAAGGATGAAGAGGATCGGCCAGATGAGATTCACCTTGATGGGTCGAGGAGCATCCGGTCGACTTCGGCGAAGTCGCAGGAGACCAACAACACTGGCTCCACAAGACAACCAGAGAACAAAGCTGAGGTAAGTAAGCAGTTCTCCGATGCTGGGGCTGAGAAGCATGAGGAGGGACATGAAGCAGGAGAAGAGGAGAGCAGGAAGAGGGGTATGACGTTGGATTTGAATGGTTTCAAAGATTGTTGGCAGGTGGCTCTGAGATGCACCGGCCCAAAAGAGACGGCCAGAAGTAAAAAGCATCCCATTCACGCCTCCGAATGTCGATAAGGACACGAACACCGGTATGATCCAACTTGCCTTCCCGTACATCTTCTCCCCGAAAGTCTACATAAAACGCGCGGTCAAGGAAGGAAGACCAGAAAGATACAGGATTTATTAAGAGTAATACGAAGAAAATATATTTATGGTGATGATCATTATGGGTGACTTACCATAGCTGTGGCAGGGGAAGAGAGGATCTCGGCTGGGGAAACAACGACAAAATAGGCAAGATTCGTGAGGATGTAAATAGCGGTCACCAAGGGCAGCGAGATCCAGATGGCTCTCGGAATGTTCCTGAATCCAAAACACTGATATGTAGAAATCTGAAAAGCCGGTGGAAATGAATCGCTGACGGTGCTAAATTTCACTGCTGAAAGGCTTAAGGAGGAGGTGGAAATCGGTGACCTCCTTTTCTTCTTCCCTTCCCTTCTCGATTCCCGGAAAATCCACACTTAACGATGTATCACTGGTCCCCTGGACTTTCCTTGTTCTTGTGACGCAAATTTCAACACGATCATGATTCACTTCTGCCGTGAAGAACAAGGCTATGACCTGAGAGGAAACCGTGTAGTCTTCCATGCTATTATTAATACATCAGAAATGGCCGGTGATCAATATCCCGAGGGAAGTCAATCTGCGATGTGTATGAAACTACACATATTGATGATCAATGGTTATTCAAAATATGAAGTTAACATTTTGCTGACTTATCTCCCAATGAGTAATTTGAATTGTTTAGCTTTACTGCATGAAAATCAGGTCTCATGTTTTTCCCTTACCTGCTTAAAATATGTAACACTTTCAAAAACGTGTCTCCAGCTCGAGTTTTGCCAAGTTCCCTCGAATGGTCTTCCCTTCCTTGAACAGCCAATACCAGGTTGAGGAGCACAAAATGGGATCAATGCCATCGGTTTGATAGCTTTGGAGTTTTTATGAAGAACTTGCAATTAACCATTCCTTATCTTTAGTCATTTATGAGGTTTTAGTCAAATTTTCGTAAGACCTCTTCCTAGCCGGTGACCCCGGAGAGGTAGAGAGGTTTTTCTGGATGCCCTCTGAGGCAGAGGAGTAGTTCCATCCTGGACGCCTCGTCCAGTTGGTTCAATCACTTTGCGTGGCCCACCCACCTCCAGCCTCGACCACGCAATGGCTGTGTCCCCAAAGTCTGTCCTCGAAAGATTGTTTGTGTAAGTCATATCAATTGCTCCAATTATCCAAATTGTTGCTCATTGTGTCTCTTCTTCGAGGGCTCTCTAACATGGAATTCTATGCAAAAACTTCCTAAATAAATCCACGAGGACCTTGTTCTGGTTTCTTTTGAGTCCCAGTCTCACTCGATCTCCCAAAACTCGGTCTAACGCCACATTTTCTCAGTCGAATTCAACATGAAAAGCAGCTGGATGTTAGTCTCTCTCCTATGTAATCATCTATTGACACACGGGGAAAAGATTCCAAGGTTCGAGCTGGAGATACCTTTTAAAAAGAGTACAATTACAATTTACGATTTAAGGAGACAAGGGTAAAACCTGTAACTTGATTTTCATACGCCCTATGCTGAGGCATATCAGTGATGTCTATTATCTGCCTAGTTTTTTTTTTCACCTGCTTTGCAACTTTGCATTATTCATCGAAGTACTTTGTTCTTTAGAAGGGGGCAGCCGATAGAATCACGTAGAACTATAACTCTTCAGCTTAACACGTTCATGGCTGAATTAAGAAGACGAATTACTAGGATTTTTTGTCTTCAAAGTTTCTCTTCATTATTTTGCTCATGATCCCACATGCTTGAATAACAGCCTACTTAAACAAGCGATGTATCCGCAAATTGCCCTCGTCGAGAGCTATGAAACGGTATAATTAAAATCCAGTTTGTCAAATATAGTAACGCAAGAGCAGTCTCAAAGTATATGATCCTCATCATGATCATAAGTCATGAAAGGGTTAAATAAATAATCTATGGTTGAAAATAACTGCATCTTCAACTTACGAGTTCCAAGCATTCACTACCCGACAAAAAAGTAATTCGGAAACTTGAGTCCTACTTAGAGCTTACACAACGTAGTTCTCCTTCGTTTTGCAGTCACCATCGAGTTGAGGAAACCCACCGTGCTTAGATTTATCAAGGCCTTTATCAATCACTAAATGCCTGGATGAGATCCCCTTTCCTCAAATTTCTCTCCGGCGAATACCTCCCCAGAGCACCCAAACACCGCTAGTAAGTGGTCGTATCTCTCTTATGATTTTAGTAGTCCGTCTCTGAACCCCCTTCAGCGCGATTAAATCCCTTTTATTTGCAGGTATCCAAGTTTGAACACGATGTTCAAAATGGGGCCTCACCAACGCTGAGCAAAACGGAAGAATAAACGTATGAGCTCTAAATCGACTATCGATTGCCGCCGGATGAAGCCTAAACACCAAGCCAAACAGTCGAGCATGGGCGCAGAAAAAGAGTTCCACCTCGTTTACTGCAAACGTCCTGAAAACGGAGGAGACGCTCTCAAGTTTGAAGGCGTTGTAGCCATTCGAGAACACTGGTGTGCATCGTCATAATTGTGCACACGGGACAATTGGACTAGGCTGCAAGTTTTGCTAAAAGTTTAGTTCACTGCAAGCAAAATTTGCTTCAAATAGTGCTGCACGAAATTGAATAGAACCGAATTCGGGCATTATCGACAGAGTGGGCCAAGAGTTCATCCTTCTCCACTTCATTCCAATACATTTACAAATCAAGGCGTGCTCATGCAGTTTTGAGGATCATTATTACCATTCTTCTCTGACGTAATGCACTTCATTATAGCGAAATCTGACATAGTTCTAATACAAACTTTTTTCACGATGTGAGGTAGAAAATTACAGTTGCGAGAGCGTTATGATGGTAAGAAGCCAGGCTGGACATCCTTACTTTTTTTTTTGTTCCAAGGGTTCATTAAAATTTTGTATTGATACTATCCTAAATAAAGTTAGGATCGAAATTCTTAAAAATTATTAATAAAAAACGATGATGAAAACCCTGTTCTGCTTCACCAATTGCCGTCAACCCAGCCCATCACTGCTCAATCTCCTTAAGTCACGACAAAAATGAAATTGCGAAAGAAAATGATGCACGCAACTTCGATCTTTTACCTCGCATCCCCCCAAAATATTTATTTTTCACTAGCGACCTGCGGCCGCTACGTTGCCGTCTAATGGGCGGAAATTTGAAAAGGTTTGCATAAGGATATGAAGCAATTCGGTTCAAACCAAACATTAAACATCTTTAAACAAACCTCCAGAAGTTCGAAAGTGTTGCCGCCCAGCTAATTTTATTATCCTCAAGACCATACCTGACAGATAAATCACGAGTGAAGGAATGAATCATGAACGGAAAAGACCATTTCAAATTCGAAAAGCGACGAATGAGAAAAAAATGAGAACCTGCAGCCGATTGGTGGAAACGCGATGCGTATTCAGTGAGCCGTGTCAATCAATAATCGGGCGGATAATGATCAATAATAATAATTATGAAGCCTATGCAGATAAGAAGCCACAGCCTATGGCCTAGAATGGCATATAACCTTGTAGGCCTTGCGTGTTAGGCCGCGAAAGAGAAACCATTCACCATCACTTTGGGCCTTTTTCAATTTTTATGGCCTAGCCTATGGCCCAAAATTGCAGAGTCTTGTATGCCTAGCACTCAAGGCCGTGGTTGGCCTGGCCTTTGGCCTACAAAGTCATAGCATCATAGGTCTCGCGCGTTAGAGGTGACAGTCACCACAACTTTCGGCCTCTTTCAATTAAAGAATTAGATTAGATTATTGGGAACATTTGGTAATGAAAAAAAAAATTAATGATTACATTCTATTGAGGAAGAGCACAACTATTTATCCTCCTAATTGCATGAGCGTGTCTTAATCAGTATGAACGTAGCAATTAAACGAAAAATGGTAAACATTTCTAGAGTCTGGTACGAGACGATTCCCACCAAAAGAGAATACGAGGATGAGGAGATTCGCGAGGAAAATGAGGGCGAAAAAAAGGGAAGCGAAGTCGCTCTCCCATCATTTCGTCCTCGCGGGTGTTGGAGACGGAACGACACAGAAACTATTTCGTAGGCCATGGTCTAACTGCACCGTGTGAATCGATCGAAACCAGAACTGGAGAAGTGCCTTATTTTGAGTTAGGGAGGGGGAGGGGGGGAAGCCGAAGTAGAGGGTGCAAGTATATAGCAGGGTAAAACTGGTTGCACAATAACCGCATGAACCCTCTGTATGGGATAACAACAACTGCATCGAGAGGACTGATTTTTTAGTTTCCTTTCCTTAATTATGCAGCCTAACATGTCCTCCGATCTCGGCTAACCCAAGTTTTTTTTTTCCCCCCAGTTTGTCTCTGTACGATAAGAGGCCAAGAAGAACCGAGTCCTAATACTCCATTTCGTCCACTCAATTTCGTGAACGATCGATCGTGACTAGAATTTCTTCCCGGTGGAGTCGGCCACAGAAAGGCCTCGGAGTGCTCATGAATGTGACCACCCCTGCCTCATTCTCATCCCGATCTCATCCCATTATCCTTGCATCCCATAATGCCGACGAGGATCCATTATTCATGGACTTCTCCACGGACGCGATCCACTGACTTATGCGGCTCTTGGAGTTCTTCGGTGACGATGTTGAGGAAATTCCATCCGGCGTAGGCGAAGAGGCCGTAATAGAGGGCCAGGCTCACGTTCTCGGTGTCGATCTTCCCCGCAAACGGATCCTCCAGGTACTCCACATTACCTTCGGATGAAAAAAGAAAACTTGAGAAGATCCTCTACTCCGACGAATGGCAAGACGCAGCCGCCCGTTAAAAGGGAACGGAAACGTTAAATCCAAGAAATGACGTCGATGGGATTCTAGAAACCAGAAGCCCACGAACTTCACCGGCGCTAAATGCTCTTGTTTTCGCAAACCACAAAACGGCGGGGAGGGGGGGGGGGGGGGGGGGAATCCCTGAAAGACTGCTTCACCATGTGGCAGTGGCGTGTCTACCTTAGGTAGAGGTGGGGTGCCTGCCCCGCCTGTCTTTGAGGGTGGGTGGAATGGTACCCAAGAGGTTACAATAAAAAAAAAGGAAAGAAAAATAGAAGAGGGATTTCTGTGCTCATCCGTATATATAGGGTGGTTAAAAAAAAAAACGCGCTACCGTTTTCCATGAGAGAAGCACAATTTCATAAATGCAGGGGTAAAAAATTACATTGGATACGCAATCAATATTAGACAGTTACAAGATGTTGAAATTCTTGCCAGCTTCTTTTTCAGCACCCCTGCCTAAGTCGTGCAATGCCCATTTAGAGGTGAAATAAAAGTGCTTAGAGGTGGATCATTCCACCTCAAGTGAAGTGATTACCTGTGCTTGACCGTCTCAGAATCCAATGAATTTTTCAACTTTAACTTTTCAAGGGACAGTTGGATCCAGTTGATACTTGACAGAGAAGTTCACGAGTTTAAAAGGTTTTTTCACTTCCGCAAGATGGCGCTGTATCCCGATAGAGGGTGCTGTTGTTGACCGGGTGACCGAGGGTGACTTAAAAAAAACTCCTCCGTTTTCAAAGAGGAGAAAGTGCAATTCGTGTATTCGAGTAAAATATATAAGATTCATAAACTCTTGATATTGGACATTTTGGAGGTGTTGAAAAGATTGTCTTTTTTTCTAAATAATTCTCTGAGCCATGTATTGTCCTGTTACACAGTTTACAGGTGGAGCATTACAACTTTTTAAAATCACCCTCGGTCATCCGGTCAGCAAGGGTGCTGAAAAAGAAGCTGGCAAGAATTTCAACACCTTGTAACTGTCAAATATCGATTGCGTATCCAATTTAATTTTTTTCTCCCTGCATTTATGAAACTGTTTCTCCCATAGAAAAGGGTGGAGCGTTTTTTTTTAATATACGCTGCGTTGGATAAAGAAGGGGATCGTCATTCCCCCCCCCCCTCCCACCATCCCTATGTTTATAAGTGTTTCATTTGCCAAAGCAGCCTTCATAGAGATCCATTGCAGGCCAGGTGGATCAAATGAAGTCTTAATTAGACCCACCTGCATCCGTAAGTGTATGATTACGCGAAAATGCTGATACTTCGCTTGGCCAATTTCACCAAAAGCGCGTTGAGGAGCATCTGCTCTTCGTTGCTTCATCATTCCGAAAGAATGCACCTGCACGCCCTGCGCCCTGAGTTTTTGCGAGAGAATGGAACGAACCCAACTTAGCATGTCAGAATAGTTCCAGATATTAGTCAGAAGATGGCAGGCCAATTGAATATTCCGAGAGAATATCGTCTATATTGAAATGGATTAATGGCATCTCCGTGTCGACCGATAGACAACCCCCGAGCACGAGACAACCCCCCCCCCTCCCTCCCTCCTCTTGGTTCTTTTTAACCCACCAGCCCTCCCCCCTTGGCTCTTCGCCCAGCATCCCCCCACCTTCATACCCATTTTTGACCTCAGGAATGGAGACACTGGCATCATCACAGTGCCTGAGATACCCCACCAGGCGAAAATCCTTGGCAAGCCCCCGCCATGCAGATCACGTGTTCGCTCATCTAGCCTCGATGCCAACGAAACGGTTCATTTTTGACGATCTACGATCGCGATCACAAGCGGCCGAGCGAGGAACGCGATGGCAGCCGTTGAGTTAGTAAGTGGTCTCTCTATTATTTATTTCCAATATGCTTTCCACTCCATCACTGCAAGGAAATCCCTGAGTTCAGCAACGTCGTTTTTCTTCCAGGCAACTATTTCCCCGACACTTTCATGCACATTGATCTGGTTCATTAGATACGAAGGGTCAACCCTGTGTATCGATGTTCATTTCCATTGTGCAATTATGATTAAGAGGTGCCCTTTAAACCGCATTGGAGCACCCAACCAATGCCGTACCGAGCTGCGAACGGTGAGCTCGCACAGGGCACCGATTGGTCGCCAAATTACGAGAAAATATGGAAAAAAACTTGCAAATTATCCTGAACTTTACTAAATTAAACATAGGAATAAATACGAAATGTATTGTTGGTGTTGGGAAAGCTGGAGAGGAATAAAGGGGGGGGGGGGGTTTGAGCTCTGCATTGATTATCTCGCACAGGGTGCCAAAGATCCTCGGTACGGCCCTGCACCCTACCGTAGTAAAGCAGAGGGAAGCATAACACTGAAGAGCTTATTACCTGATAGCCACTCGGATGAAGAACTTGCCCAGAGGAAAACATTGAAAGAACAAAGGAAGCAATAGCACGAGAAGGCAACAGATGCTCCCACATGCTGTTCCCACCCTTACGACGGGTATCACTCCCGTCTTCGAGGCATTTCTTTTGTAATCAACTTCTAATTACGTTTCCTTTGATATTCGACGTCAATTTCGAGGATTTTACAGTTCCGTTTCCCTTTCATTCGGGGAAGGATCCAAACATCCCATTCAGTCGACACGAATGCGTTGGCTGAAGTTTATTTTCGTACTCGCACAGCCAAGGCCAATACTCGCCTTGTTGTAAAGGGATGGAGATATATCGTCGCAATCATGACAATGGGGAAACGAACGGCAAGAAAGCAGATAATCAAGTTTTTTTTTTCCAGGAGGCGTCAGCACATGGTGCTGCTGTTGTTGACCTTCCGAGGGCAAAGAAAAAGAGGTGTTTCTTTCGATGGGAGATAGGAAGGATGAAACCCTTCTGAGCCTCATCCATACGTGCAACATGTTTCAGCAACTTCGCAAACAGTAAATATTGTGAGCGGGTTTAGATATGCACGGAATCCCTCCAGGACGCCATCTCCATCTCTTTCGGCCGATCGAGTCCTTATTCTCCACGTCTGCACGGGTGTTCGTGCATACGCTCACGGTGCCTCACCTCGACCAAGTTCCACCATCCCGGTCACGATGATGACGACCAATGCCCCTATCTTGGCTGCTGTGAAGATGTCTTGAATCCTCATGGCGTAGCGGACGCTCCTGCAGTTCACGTACGTCAGCAGACCTGAAGGAAGACAGGAGGGAAGCAACAAGTCGCGTTCATTCACAATCAGTGGCTCACATTTAATCGAGAGAAACGAGTTGAGCAGTGGAGTTATATTTTTCCCGCGTTAAGTCTTCAAGGGGTGAAGGGGATCGTATCCCACCAGAGATGAGAGGAAAGCAGATGAGCATCCACGCTCTTAAGCCATTCGAGCTTCCCATGCGGGCAAAACTTTTATTTATTTATTTATTTTTAATCCCACTTGAACATTAATTGTCGCGTTATTACTGAACATTTTCATCCGATACTCGGATGCGACCAACTCCGGTCCTGGAGCTACGTCAATGCCAAATTTCGTCGTACAACTTTCGATTGTTTCCGAAAATGGTTTTAATATTAACTCTACCAAAAACAGACTTTACCAATGACTTCTGCAAAATCAATATAACACGCTTAAACGAAACTCTTACTGTCCAGTTATAGCACCTGATCTAACACCATGCAAAATTTCATACCTAATACTCATCGCCTCGTAGTCTCCCAGAACCTTTGAGGCCTACGAAGAGTGTTCAAAAAGTAACTAGAGTTTTACATTTCTCCTATTCTTTGTATTCTAAACAATGAAACTCGGTACTCGCACACGTTCGAGCCTACTTCTGCGAAAGCGCAAAGGAAAAGTCAATATGTGATGGCACGGGGAGCTGTATTACGCGCGCGTCCCAAATTGGAAATGGCGACGGGAGAGGAATACTGGTAGATGTCATATCAAATTTAATCAAAAAGAGAAGGAAAGCACTGAAAATGTGCTAACGCATTTAAAAACTGTGCGTGGTAAGGAGTGCATGTGCAGAACACAAGTATAAGGATGACCGAACAGGTTTAGTGACGGTTATGAACGGCGAACGGTTTTCGGCACAGTTCTTGCCCGTCTTAATGACGTACGTTCCATCTTTTACGGCGGCGTAATCGTCCCAAAACCAGTTGGGCATGCACAAACCTTGGCTCTAAACATGCTCATTACCATGCACAGTTTAAAAGACATTCGTGATGGAATAGTTTGAAAGCGGAAAGTTCGGTAAGGGATGGATCGGATGGCACGTTCGCGTCGAGCTTACACAGTTCGCCTCACCGGGGGCCTGTTCCTCGCCTATAATAAGCGTGGATTTATACTGAGCAGAAAACGCGAAACGGAAGCGGTCCACGCCAGCGCAAAACGGAAACCGCTGGCCGGAGGCGGACCTCCCTCGACGGAAGGAGAGGAGCTTGCGTTACGTCCGTCGGCGAACCAGTCCAGTTGGATCGCTGGAGACCGACCGGACGGGAAAATATCGACTCTGAGCAATTCATCGCGTAAGTTTGAGCTTGCATCGAACTCTTCTAAGGAGATAATTGGAATCTGCCTGGAGGCATCCTCGCTTACTTGAAAAATGCTTCTCGCTCTGAAAGACACATTTCCTGCATCAGAGCATAGTATTCTCCGTGCTGCTCCCGTATTTCAAATATTGGTGGCACGTTCCATCTTCCCTTCCGCTTCTTCTTTGCACATTTTTGCACTTCCGATCCATGGATCGGCGAAAACAGAGCTATGGACTTCGTAGTGAAAGGCGCCATGTCGAACGAACCCTGGCGTGATCGCTCGGTATAAATTGCCTTCTGTCCGGCGAAAGCGATGGCGGAAAGCAAAAATTTCCGATCTGAAGTTTGACGAACTTTCGCCATCTGCTTTCCGCGCCGTTTTCCGCATAGCATAAATCCATCCTAAATCTAAATCTATAGATTCAGATGCTATCAAGTTCTGGGAATCGTTACCACGACAAATTTCAACCCAGACACATCAAGTGCCCTTTCCAAATAGTCTACTGCAACTGCATAGCATTGCCCCCATCTATGTACCCACTACTTGGAACCGGCAAAAACGAACTTTCTAGGATGTTTGCAACAATGGGGAACTTCTGTATGCACTTCACCAGTCGATTGAAAATGGTTGGCAGTCAGCCATTTGGAACTTGAGCGCTGGAAAGAGAGAGAAATCTGAAGGCGCAAGATTTATCTCATATTCTTTTATTTAAATGAAATTTCAGCGCGAGTCTTAAGTTTTTTCCTGGGCGAGAAACCGAATTTTTCCATTTTGAGCTGCTCTTAGATCTAATCCAGTTCTTGTCTGAATGTAATCTAAAAGCTTCAATTCAGTTTGACGTTTTAGCACAGGCGAGGAACATACTTGGCTGCTTTCACATAGCCTTTAATTACATTTATATTTACCTTGAATTTTGATAAAGATTTTTATTTCCGGAAATCGATCATATAGGATAAGAATTGGATACAAACGCCACGACTCGTTCTAATACATGGCCTAGAGCCTATCAGGCCATTGTCTTGAACAGCGGTGCGCAAACTGGAGGCCCGCCCCCCCCCCTCTCCTCGGGGAGCGTGAAGGGTACTGTGAGGGGGGCGCGAACTTTGGCCTTTACATTACCTTTTCTCTAGGAATTAGGTTGTTTTAGGGTTCAAAATTAAATAAAAAGGGAAGAAATGAAGAAAAGCACTTCAAATCTTGGAAATTCTGAATCCTGAATTGGCCTTTGTTTTGTGGTATTGCATTATTCGTATTAGCATCAAGTTAAAGTTATACTACGAAAACCATACATTCGTGTTTCATTTTTCATGCCAACTTACCCGAAATTAAGTCAGTTTCTGATGAAACGGAATCAGTGGCGAGGGGGGAAGGATGGGGGGGCGACCTGAAAAGTTCGTGCACCGCTGGTTAGAATATAAATTAATGTCGGTAGTCATTCAATAGGGCTAGACTCATGATACTCATTAAGTACAACCCCAAAAACCCAATGAATTGGGAGCATTTAGATTTTTATCGTTTTTCCCCAAGAACCGAAAGCTATAATATGGCGGGATTGTGGAAGGTGAAGTAGAAGGCCTCATCTCAGTTCTCCAAGATCTCTCTTGCATGACTGTCATGGAAAAGCGTGAAATTTCAAGAAAAATCTCTTTATTCATATCCTTCGGCAATCCTCGAGCTGCTTGTTTACTGCGAGGGGGAAAGCGATATGCACTTCCCATAGAAAATCCGATAAACGAAATTCCAGCTACAAGACCGAACTATCGACTGTCGACTCCGATTGATGCCTCTGTCTCTGCCCATTTTTACCCTCTGCAAGCCTAGTGTTGCGAATGAGTTTCATGCATATTCATAATTTCTCGTGGGAGGATTCTCTGCGAAGCACGGTAAATTGCCCTTGTGATTTGATTAGGCTAAGCCTCGGCCAAGAGATGAGTGAGTCGTCTCTCGGCCAGCAAATCCCACGGGTCTAGCTCGGGCCTATTAGCTGAAGGCGAAGCGGGCGGGGTTGGTCCCACCGACTTTCCACAGAAGTAAGACAGACACGGCGCGTGGGTCTCCACCTAGACCGGTTTTCCATTTCGGATTTTTTTTTTTTTCGTGGGCTTGGGTTGGGTTCGAGGTAGAAGAGTAAGTTCTGCAATAGGACCAGGGTGGACTCGGACCTAGAGTTGCGGGTACAGGTCGGGCTTGGATCTGGAAATCTCGGCCCGGCCGATCTACCTCGGTTCAGAGGGCCATTCTTCATTGCATTTCAGGGTTGTGCCGTGTCCAAATCAGTTTCCAATGTACACAGGATGATTCTGAGGTAGTAGATCAGAACTTGAATGTCAACATTGGACATACTTCGTGAACTAGCAACCTTTTTGTCGAAACTGCATATGTGGACGCGACATCTAATTCATAGTTATCACCAATAACCAAGAAGGGAAAGAGCATTAATGAATATTTTTCGTTTGTGAGCTTATTCTCATCTTCCGCTTCTCCCGACAAATCCATTCCTGACCCGTTACCACAAAATTGTTCTTGATTTCTCGGCTTAAACTCATGAGCATCGTTTGTGTTTCAAAACCCTCAACATAATTCCAGCTGAAGCCCTGGAGGAGTCTCGTCCATCGGCATTACGCGCACTTCCGTGCATTCAAATTAGTCGTCTTGCCACTAAAAATTCATGAAGAAAGGTTTTTCAATTCCGCGGGCAAAGGGAAATATCCAGCATAAAAAAGTCATAATATATTCAAGAACCTATGGTGGTGTAACCTTAACGCGATGCAAACGCATCTGAGGCTTTTGAGGCGCTGATAATCAGGTAGTTGCCGAGAGAGGATCCTCGAGGAGCAGAGTGATGGAAATATAATGCTAACAGATTAGTAGATGGGCAAAAATAACGAATATCATGAGCGTGGACATCATACAGTTTCGAAAATTTTTCCGTCGCGAGGATGTGAATGCCCTGAAATGTTTCCCCATTCGATCCCCCAGAGGGACGGCTCCGAGCCGTGCCCCCTCCTGGTCGAGTGGCTGTCACGTTTCAGGGGGCACGAGAAAGCCCCATTCTGCCTGATTTTTTTCTTTGCTAATCGTGCACGTGTGAACGGAAAAGAGGGCAGAGAGGACAGAGAACATGCGCGCTCGAAGAACACAAGAGAGGCGGAGGGGAGAGAGAGAGAGACAGATACGGGTATAGAATAAATGTACGCCACGCCCTGAGGACAAAAAGCTTGGCGGCATGGGAGGGCCCTGAGTGTGAGGTGAGAGCGATGATTCATGAAAGTAAAAGTCAAAACCCTCTTGCTCGTGAGAGTTCACGACTTCGGTCGGTCGTGAGAAAAAGGGCGAAAAGCGTAAGGAATCGTTCCATCGGAAGGAGACTCACAGAGGCAGCCGGCAGCCAGAAGCCGCACGGCAGAGATCGGCGGATCGCAGCTAGGGAACACAGGTTTCGTCACGTATTCCGCAAAGGTGAGGGCCAACACGGCTTGTATCGAGGGTCGAATGATGATCACTTCGACCCAGAGTTTGAGGAACGCAGGCAAATCCCCGAACGCTTCTTGGATGTAAGCATAGTCACCCCCCGACCGAGGGATGAGGGTACCCAGTTCCGCATAACATAGGGATCCGACGGCGGAGATGAAGCCGCTCGCGGCCCAAATCACCAAGGACCATCCCACCGAAGGGACTTTTTCATAGATGGCATACGGCGAGATGAAAATTCCCGAACCGATGATGCAACCAACGATGATGCCAACCCCATTAAACAGAGTCACTTTCCTCTTGAGGGTCACCGTCTCGTCACCTTCGTCTGCGGTGACTTTCGAAGCCATGTTAGCCCTGGCAAAGCGTCGTTGACGGTAAGGTGAGGAAGCCGATGCGTCCGTCAGACGAGGGGCAGACGAGGGGAGAAGAGCGTGACTGTGCCACGAGGCTTCTCGAGATCCGTTCCCCCCGCTCCCCCCCCCCTCCCCTTCTCCCTCCTGCTCATGCGCTTCGCTCTTTCCTCCCCAACTTCATCATTAATTATCCCATTCGAGACCTTCATTATTTTCTGCCCGCATGCATGGCGTCGAAACCGAGCCTCTCCTTTCGCTTAACCAACGAGAACTCATTTTGGGATGCATGAGACCTTGAAACCCACATGCCCCCTTGTGACTCGGTATTCTTCTCTCCTCTCGTCCGGGTGGAAGACACGAATGGTACAAGATAAGAACCTTCTTCATAAGTCGCATACCGATGCCCACATTTGGCTGATACATGGAGTCACCGATCGTCGAAATTTTTTTCTCGTCTCGGCCTCAAGGAGCAATAGTTGAAAAAAAGAGGCTAAAATAGGAGTCCGAATGATCTTCAAAAACTGCGTGGGATCAAGCTCTCGAAAGCAATCAAACAAGACTTCGGGCAGTAAAAATCATCTGCGGAGATAAAAAGCTTTTAAGAGTGCATCTTGCTATGAGAAACGGTTCTTATGGTGAGTGTGGATAGGGGTGAGAGTAGAGGTCCATTGTGTTTCTTTTTCTGCGCGATCTTTAAAGCCAGTTATCGAGAGCTACTGGCTCTTTGAAATGACCCGCTAAGACGAATGAGTCGGTTCGGGAACTTCTGAGCTTGAATGAGAAAAATGTCGGCGACCTGTGGATATATCTCATGGATGAAGAAACAATAGGGACATTGAACAATCGATTGGACATGGGAGCTCGAGTTTCCCGGCCGGTCGGGGTCGGAGGCCACCCAAAGTGAACGCAAATTCCTTGCAGTTCCTGACTGACGGAACTCAGCTTCTGCTCGAATTATTGTCGCCTGGATTCGAGCTGCATAGTTAGTCTTCCAGTTCGGGCACGACTCAAGGTTGTGGTTGTTCGCTGTCAAGGTCACTGACTGTTCAGCAGTCTGTGCACAAACGTGAATTCATTTTCATACAGCTGTCGAGTGCATCTAGTGGTTGCAACTTGCGTTCCACTCCTATGCTGAGAAGAACTTTTGGAATTGACGCCTATGCATATTGTTCTTTCAGCACTTGAGGTGGGAGAATACGATTGAGAATGCTCGTAGCTCGAAAGAGAAGCAAAAGGACCCGTCGAGCGGCAATCAAGGTAGAGCGAGGTTGATTGCCAACTGATTGATTGAAGACCAAGGGAAAGAGCAACCTGGGGCGTCCACACATTATTTCGCGATCTGGATTCCTTCCAACAAAAAAAGGAGCTCAATTTACAATCCTTCTTCTCCTTCCGATGCTAAGGCCGCCTCAGCTCCACAGTCATGTGAATTTGATTGACATCTCCCACCTTTCTTCCCCCAACCCCTCACTAGCGAGAAGCCAGCTAGATCCGACAACCTCAGGGTCGAGCGAATACACCTTATTAGGAACAAGCAATGGAGTACTTTCGGAATACCTTCGCAGCTTCAGTTTTTTTTTAAGACGTGCAAGGATCCTGAAAGCAGTCAGCCACGCTGCTAGCAGAAGGGAGGCTACAGTTGTACCATTGTCATTGATGGAGTCAGAAGTCAGAAGTCTCCTTGGACCTCTGACAATCCTGACTGGAGTTCGCATCAGAGCACCCGAGATCTCGCTAAGCTTCCAGAGATCTTCTGAAGAAGAAATCAGTTGTAACCTTGTAACCACCTGAATGGTGGGTTTGACCTTGAAGAGGGCTCTTGCAGCAGGGTTCTTGCAGCAGAGTAGAGCCACATCGTCGGGTGAAGCAATCTTCGAATTATTTCTCAACATGCTAACTTGGAGTCGTCGAGCATTTAAAAAACGCATCCCAAAGCTTTAGCATCGTTCCTCACCCGATGGCTTATGTTCGATTAAGGCTTGTGTGACGAGTGAAGTGAAAAGACTTCCAAGCCAAAGTCTTCAGGTATTCAAGAAGGACATAGGGTAGAATACCCACCCAGCAAACACAGGTATGTTATTGCCACGTTGGAAGTGTGTTATTGAAGTGTTTCAGTGTTCTTTCATGACGTAAAATGAACTTTGGCAACGTTAACGTTTTAACGTTAAAATGTTCCTTTTGGAAGCGCTCAAAGCAACGTTGGCACAAGAGCGTTGAAGTAATGCTAAGGCAACGTTCTACATGTAACATTTCAATGTTGGCGCGCAAAAACATTGGAAGGGCATTTAAAAGGAAACACTGAGACGAATCATACCAATGTGCATGCCCGTCTCCCAAAGTTCGTCCCATGGTTTTTGTCAAATTTTTGTGCGGATATCCAGCTAAATGTGGTGTATTCGAGTAGTACATGGATAAAATAGTAATTAATCGATCACAACTATCCCAAGTAACGCACGAACGTTCTCGAAAACGTTCAAACTGGAATCTGGTTCCAAAACCAGAGGTTTTGCCATGTTCACAGATGACCAGCTTTTGGGCGGTCACTTAAGGCGCCGTTTGATCTCGAATATCCTCTTCTTCATGACGTTTCGGAAGGACATAAGTTGAACCTTAAAGAAACGTTTTCTTTATGCACATCTGTACTACTTGATCGGAACGGCGGGTCTGACAGTGGCTCTAACAAACAAAGGTTCGAACAACGGAAGCGAGATGATGCCAAAGCAACTGCTGTAGCGAGTCAATACCTGATACTGCTGAAAATTAGTCCTCAATACTTTCCACGCGGTACCCGATCTTTCCTCACAGACATCACGGTGAAGACATTCGAATTCTTCAACAAATTCCCCTGAAGAGGCAATCCAGTCTAAAGAGTCTCCAGGAAACTCTGGCCCCGAGCATAATGAGAATACGGTTCCACTTTCTATTTTACTCCATGGTATTTAATCCTCAAGTGGAGATAAAGTCGAATGCGATGAACTTTTAGGCAAATTGAAGCCATTCCTACACGCAACTCCAGAGTAGGATCATTCCCGAGGGTATTCACGGCACACTGGCAGTACCTTAAAAGCAACGTTAATAGGACATTCATTGATCGTTTCGGTGCTACCCGAGCAAGTTTAATTCGATGATATAAATGAACGTAGTAATAGGGTTCGTCCAACGCTCTCGGGTTTAACATTGCTTTGAGCGCTTCTAAAAGGGACATTGCAACGCTCTGCTAACGTTCGCTGCAATGCTGGAACAATGTTAGAAGTTTTAAATGTGAACGTTGTATTTAGCATTTCGCCAACGCTCATGTATTTGCTGGGTAGTGATGGGCCACGGTGTAGGAAAATTCCAACAACTAAGCATGCATAGCACGCACACAACTGCATTGACAAATATGCTTGCAAGGGGTAACCCATGTCACTGGGATGTGCGTGCTACGCATGCTTAGTTGTTGGAATTTTTCTGCGCCGTGACCCATCACTGGGAACAGGCGGGTATTTTACCCTACCCGAGTTCTCATCGTGACGGGGGCACGAAGAGCTTGCGATCTAAATCCAGAGGATACCGGAAATCCCGATTGACATGTACCAGATCCCTGAAGAAGGGGAGACATTCAACTGTCCTGGTTCGCGGTGGACGACCGAACGGTGTCTGCCCCCTTGGTCTGGAGGACTTACCAGAGCTTTGACCCAGTGGCATCAACATTGGATCCAGAAATTGTGCCTAAGGGACAACCAGACGGGAGGGGTCATGAAAAGGAGGGGAAAGGTAAGGGGGAATCAGTGGGAAAAGGAATTTCTTGTCGTGATTCGAGTCTCCACGGAAGCTTGAACTCCATCCGGTGAGTTTTGCAAAAAAAGGTCTTTATGAATGATGAGGAGGCGACCACCCTTCCCTGCTCTCTTGTATCCGCCACTGGGTGGCGGGGCAAGAGTGTCTTTGTCAAGAATGTTCTGGATATTGCTATTTTCCTTATATATTGAATATTACTCAGGAGACACATCATGCTCGCAGCATATGCTCGATGCTAGGAGCGCGAAACATCTTTCAAGTAAGACCTCTCCCCCTGTGTCTTCTGCAATATGTTCTCCACTTCCATCACCGAGAGGAAAGATCGCCACTTGTCTATATAGGCACAAATGGCGACTCGCAACCCAGCGAATGACGTGTTTTTCTCGAGGACAGCGCTCAGGATGGCAGCCGATTCTGTACTTTAGCACTGTGGTTCTTGAGCAATCAAAAGCTTCATTTTCCACACTGTAGCCCACGGAGGAAGACTAAGATTAGGTACGGTTATCGTGTGAAGGAAAGCGGCCCACCAGGTTAACTGCTATAATATCGGCACAAAGCAAAACTTTTGCATGGTGAAATGCCGATTCATTGTCTTGCAGCTGTTTCACGTTTATCGCGTCTCCATACAAATGTTCTCCACTTGAGACACTTCTGAATTCTAATACACTTGGAATAATCAATCATCCTTTAGAACTCTCATGAATTTTGAAAAACAAAATAAATGGCACAAGTATGCTTTGATAAGACTAAAACGGTGGTTTATTCTTTCTCTTTTGAACCTTTACGCTCACCATATCGTCTTCTGAACATTCATAACTCAATAATGAAGAATCTGAGGTGCATGATCTGATGAAAGGAACACTGTTGTGCAAGGGGCATTTTCCCAACTCCCCAAAAACAAAATTCCCCATGCATGAGTCCCATCACAGCAAACCTGTGGTTGACTCATCGATGCATGAGCAAGGATCAGCTGTTTTCTGCTTTTTGCATAAAGAAGAGTATAATGAAGACAAACAGACTAGATATCCAGACTGGATTGAGAGACCGGGTTTACTATACACGGAGAAATTCAGTGAGCATTCTCAGAACTATTACAGAAGCGAAATGCCTCCATATTGCATCATATTTCATTTCCACAAGACCAGGAACACATAAGTCCATAGCTCACATTGAACACTCATTCCACACAATAAGATCTCCTTCAAGTACAAGTACCCCTACATCCATACATGGTATTGACAGCACGAGTGCATAGACTGAATTAAATAGCTGGAATCAAACATATAGAATAAAAGGAAATAAAAATTCAACAGATGAATACCTCATGAGATAATAAATCAGAACAAAAACTAATGCCATGAATAACATAACAGTTGATATTAAAAGAAACCAAATGCTCCAAGTTGCAGCGAGACACTTTCAGATAGATGGCAGACATAATGTTCTGTGCCCTCCATGCTTACTGCACACTACAACATGCATGTGCTTACCTTGCACTATCTAACATCATCTTCCCATACATACAAGGCTTTTATTTAAATCTTGTAAACTCATGAAATGGAGATTATCTCATCTGCATAACGCATGGAACAATGGAAGCCATAGAGGGAAATGAAGCAGGGGGCTCTATCACAGGGCTTGCACAGTCCGTGTCACTATTTTAACAATGAATGAAATGGACAACTTAAGTCATTTCAGGTATTTCGATGCGAAATTCATGCAGAAATAGGATCTACGTTAAGCAACGAAGTAGTCCTTTTCAATTAGACAGCAATCTACAGGGAGCAAAGGAGGGAGAGAGGTAATGCAAAGCAGGATATACTGCATCTAACATTTTTGTCAGTCGTTATAGAAAAGAGCTCGAAAAAAGAATTCCTTTTGTAGATGAACAGCTGCACTTTTTTGAAGGGGCGAACCCAGATGGAGGGATGCCGCAGCTGCAGGTCTAGAGCCAATTTTCACTGCATAATAGATCAGAGTACAACTCGCTTTCATTTCCACTTTGCACGTTTCAGGGAGGCGAATTTTGTGTCTCAGATGATAGCGAGTACTTTCAAGTCTGAGGGCTGCATGGAAACCAAGGCAATAGCCCCAAGAAACATATCATGATCATGATCAACAAGAACATGAATGCTTTCAGTCTGATTACCTGAGGTCAATCACTTGTAATATGGGAGCCTATGAGAGATGTCACTGGACGGGCAGATCAAGTACAAGCCTATCGATTTTCCTTCTCATCTGAGATACAGGTGCTGATATGACCCGACTTGACTACACAAGGATGGAAGAAAAGAAAACACACAAAAATGAATAAATAAATGGAGGGGGGGAGGGAGGGAGGAAGAAGGGGAGAGTGTAAGTGAATGAAGCGAAGCGATCAGCAACGGCGATTGTTGTTGACTCGAGAAGGATTGCGATGCATGCGGTGACGGCGAGTGGAGACCCGGATCCTGGAATCTACCAACTGGCAAAAGTTATTCCTGGTAATCGAAGACTTGCTCGACCATCTCTCCATCCTCTTAGATCCCCTCCTCTCCTAGGAATGGAAATGATGGTGGTGAATTAACTGGATCCCCTAACTTCGGTTGCCCGAGTGCCCAGCCTTTATACCAAGGAATCGAGAAAAGGGGGTGGTCCACGTGGACGTGGGACGAGTAGAGGCCTCCTCCTCCCCAGGTTCTTCGAGTTAGGAAGGTTCGAGGATTCCACCCCCGTTTCACCTCTTCCTTCATCTCTCTCCGGTTCCACATCCGGGGAGGAGGTGGGAGAGGACGAGGGCAGGCATGAACCCGAGGACTGAGACAGTCCTAAATGCACCATGGACCAGGAACCGCCTTCCGCATTCAACACATCTTCCCCTTCGCCTAGCAGGATGAAACACAAATTTTATATACTTTTTAATTTAAACCAATTTAGCGCATACCGGGAACGTCAAAGACTTCAGTAGCCATTCTTCCTAAATCCAATATTCAAAGATAAATCTCAGAAGCCGCAGCCACAAATTTCTTTTTCCTTGCGGGCCTCCTTTAAAGAAAAGGAAAAAGAAGCCTAGTTCTCATCGTTGGGTATCTTTGTGTGCGTCTGTCAGCGCAGATTTTCATAAACTGGGGAATACTATGGTAAAGGGTGCATGAAAAATCACAGACTTATTTATCTGTCTTCTTTAAGTTTTTTTTTTTTTTTTTACGGCAACTCTGACATTCCTTTATGCAGTAACAATTAGGGTTTCATATGGCCAGGCAACTTTCCATATAAAGCAAATTCAGGTTCGGCGTTGATATAGACAAAAAAGGCTGAATCGATGGCTCCTCACTCACCTATCCACCAGCCGGTGGGTAGATGGGTGCGGGACCATCGACTGGCCAGCATGCAGCCCTGACTACACCTCATGTGGCCTCTCTGTGATGTTATTTCAAAGAAAAAGTGCTTGGTCAGTGACCAAGAACATTTGGGTGAATTTGAGGCCATCATCCACAGGGAAGTTAATGTCATTCCATTGTCAGAGGCTCCACGCAGCGAGCAATGATAAAAGAATTCAATGGGAAGAGGAGTGCCATATTAAATAGTGTTGAGCGAACTAATGAACTATGGGAACCTCGTTAGATTATTCCTTTTTCAGCATTTATCGCCTAACAAGGAAAAAGGAATAACAGTTGGGCTTTCCTAACAAGGAAAGCTCAACTGTGAACGAGATGGTATATACTCGAAGAGGTACAGAGAGCAACGCTTGTTGCTGTGATCATGGTGCAATGCCGACATTTTACAGTATCCTTACCTTCATACAGGAAATGGACACTTTCGGAAAGTCAAAATCTAACATTCTCACGATTACTTCAGACTTACGGGGCTCACTCTGAAGGCTTTTAGAATGGGGCACATTTAGTCGCTATACAGCAATAAAACGCAACAGTTCCTCAAAATATTGTCCTTCAGCTGCAATATACTGTTCCATTCGATGAAACCACCTTTCAAAACATTTCACTAGTCTTCAGCAATGGCTGCCAAATGATCTTGAGGAGCTTGAAATGCCTCGTCGTCGCCGTGAAATTGTTGCCCTTTCACGCCCTCCTTCACCTTGGGAAAAATAAATAATTACAGGGGACAAGGTCGGGCGAGCAGGGTGAGGCAGCAGTTGAACATTTTCATTGCCCAGGAAATCGCATATGCGTGCAGCTGTGTACCCACTGGCATTGTAACGGTGCACGAGGATTCCACGGAGACCTGAGTTTGGACGACGCTGGGCGTAGATCTTCATACACTTTGGAAGGCAAACTGTGCTTTATCAGAGATCAGTAACTGTTTTCTGTTTCTTCAATGGGACAACCTTCACCACACCCGATATCGAGAACACTGCAACCATCTTCTTCCCAGCACTCCGACTGAGGCGCAACTTCTTCAGCCTCGGGTTTCCCGGAAACACTCACACGGTCGATTGCCGCTTCGTTTTTGGGTCATAATGATGTATCCATAATTCGTCACCTTTCGTAACTTGAAAAAGTGCTCCAGATCGCCCCTTATAAATCATAATTTTACACCATTCCACACGGGATTCTCGTTGGACTTCTGTCAGGTTATTATTGGCACCCAGGCAGATGCAACTTTTCACATGAAAATGTTCGTACAAAATGTAAAAACTGATGCTGATCCAATGCCTAGACTCTGCTCCAACTCCTTCAAAGGTGATTCGCCTATTTTCTCGTATCAGAGACTCAGTCCGTGCAATGTTTCCAGAAGTGGCAGCTGTCGAAGGTCTTCAACTGCGTGTGGCTCTTCAAAGCTGCTTCTCTCACGTCAAAATTCACCAAACCGGTTTTAAACTGTGGCAGACGATGAAGCAGATGCACAAAATGCTTGCTGTAAACGGGAATCAGTCGCCACAAGCCCGACTTTGAAGTCGCAGAAAATCATGACACGGAAATGCTCTCTGCGCAGCTTGGATCTTGGATCTGGTTGGATCTTGAGTTCCATTGGACAGCTGCAAACTACACAACACACCGGCCGAAGGGGACAGAGCCTAGATACATCCTGATGGGAGGAAACATGGAAGATAGCAATCTTCCGCTGGCCAAAAGGGAAATCACTAAGATACGGCTGTGTTGCCGATTCTAAAGTTTCATAGTGGCACTCGCACTTTTAGGCAGAACGCAGCCTCACAGAATCATAGGGCAGAATGGCCTAATCAAATGCCAATCTCCACTCTCGGAACTTACAATCACGCTAAAATGCAAGAACTTCATAAAAATAATATTGCTTTCATTCGTCAATACCTTCAAATCCACAATGTTTGTTCGTTTACGTCCAGAGATCTGGAAGTATGCGACATGAGAGTTTCTCGGTACTGTTACACCTTATCTGGGTTCTAAGCATGCAAACTAGCCCAGAGTAAAAGCTGCAGAATCTATGTCGATAAATGAGGTACCAATGGACTTATCTCGATGCGATGGAGTCCTTTGGGATCTCAAATACTGAACTAGTGCTGAAAATCCTAACAATAAAAGTCTCAAATATCCAGTGCACAAGGAAAAACCTAAATTAAAAACTACTGAACCGATTGCTATTGTACACTCGCGTCCCCATGGAGTGTTCATTTTTTGGAGTTACAGCTAAGTACTTAAAAGCAATCTCATCAAAACCGACCTAGAACAAAAGAACAATCTGCACCTACAGAAAAAATCAGGCACTACTACTCTCTTCTCTTTCTAGGGTGTGCTTTGGGAAGGAAGCCGTCTCAAGTATAGATATAGTCTTTCGTAAGCGGTCTTATTAAACACAATAGATGCAATGTTCATTTCATCTATTGCACTACCTGGCTATTTTGACATCGCTATAAAATTACAATTAAATACTCGGGTTTCTAGCAATAAATTTCATTGAAATTTTGAAATCACCTGGACGTGTTGGATGTGAATTTCCTGCCGAAATCTCCCTTGGTGTTCCATCTGTAGGCATGTAAAATTGGAAAATTCTTTGAGCCATCCGGTCCACTTTGTTTCATTTTTTGCCCAAGTTTGGGCACGAACGTGACAAATCAGCTAGGCTCAGGCCGAAATTGTGCGAGTCAACGAAGCGGGAAATAGTATACTTGGTCACTGTCACGATACTCACTGGGTGTGAAAGGGGTGATGACTTCCCAGCCTTCTTCCTCTGTGGTGGAGAGGGGCAGCTGAGGCTCTTCGCCTTGGTGGCTCTCCACTCCCGACCCAACACCCCACCACATCCCAAGAAGCTTCGTAAGCATCTTCTGTCTTATCTCCTGATCGATCCAAGCAGGTCAATCTGTGAATACGAAACAATGAAAATGAGGGTCACCTTTCCATACTTGTCACCTAAGCCTCAAGCTGAGGACAGGTTGAGTGCTCTCCAAATGCTTATTTAATCATCACCACAATTACTAAGTGAGATTCTTCGCCATTACCACTTAAAAATTCATTGCAAAACATTATTAAGGTTAAATTAATAATAAATATCTATCATAACCCATGCACGGACTGATATTCCGGCATAATAATGAGAGCATTAAAAAAGACACAATGAGCGCTCCTCCCACGGCACACTTTTTTACCTATCAAGTTTGAACTGCCACGTTCACGTCGTACCACCTTCCTTCCCACGGCAATGGCAGATTCAATGGGAAGGGAGGGAGGGGGGGACTAGGAGTCTAAAACCGTGCCAGAATGAGACTAGGCATGTTGGCATTGCTGCAGATTCCATTTTCTCATTTCACGCAGCGAAAAAAAAAGTAGCACGTAGACTCCAAGGGGAAATTCGTGAAATCTAATCTGTTAAATCTGCTAATTGTCTGGAGAAAACAGTGATTGTAATTTGCTCGGTCAACCAATAAACTGAATTCGAACTTGGAACCACGTCCCCCGCCTCCCGGAGATCCTGTATTCGCCACAGTGCAAATCACTGAAATCGCCAGATACTTGAAATCACATACAAGGTACACTAAAGATATATTGGCCTCTCGCTGAGTGTAGCCTGGGGAAAAATATGAAAAACTTTCATTCTGAAAGCAAGATGAACTAAGAGGCAAGCCCATTTTCGATGGTATGAACAACTCTTATTTGGATAACGCAATCGCGTAGTCCAACCGATGGCAAGGTGAAGTAGGTCGGGGCCCAGGATGCAACACCAGTCCCTTTTACGCACGTGACACCTAGCAGTCCTTCAACGGACGACTCATTCGAAAGAAAGTGAAAGGAGGACTCATGGCCCCATTGAGAAATGATACGCGTAGCTTCTCCACCTCCAGGTACGTCTATCAAATACCCTCAGTGGATGTGCCATGCACCTTGACCCGGGTGACGAAGGGTTATCAGATTGTTACAAGGAAAACACATTGAAAAAAGTCTACGTCAGCACCAAGGTGCGTTCATTATTCAAACCAGTAATTGGTTTGAAAGAATGTTAAGGCAACTAAGACCAACACAACAACTTATTATCGACTAAATATTACTTCAGTTTCAGCAATTCATTACCAGTTTCCCCTTCCTAATTAAATTACTGCTCAGCTTTGCCTTTGTCCGTTTCGAAGTAATTATATTAGCAAAGGAAGTGCAGTGAAGGAACGGCAAAGATTCCTGAGTACAAGGTACCGTGTTGAGTAGGGGGAAGGGTGAATGTTGGCATAACTGAGCTATGGCGGTGGGCCAAGGCTTTCGCCTGAATATTTTACCTAGTGACCTTGGAATGTAACTGCCAACTCTGGTGAGTTTCTCCTCTCTCCGCGCTAAGACCTGCTTCTTCTCATGATCTCACCGAAGCAAAAATAAAAAATAAAACACGAAAGAGTATGGAAACACTACTAGTGTGAGTGTGAAGGTCAAATTTATAATTAGACTTCTAATCTGGCCCAGGTTTCTATTATAAGAGTTTTAAAAAATCCGTGTCCATGACCTTCGGTATTTTTTTTGTCATGGAGAAGCAAGAGGGAAGGAACGAAAATGCATGGTATAAAATGTCAATATAGGTTAACTTCAAGGAGGATTTCGGAAGGGTAAGGACCGCGCAGCAGCAGAGCGAACCTAGGCCTATCGATTCATAGGGGATGGCCTGGCATGGCTTCAAGTCCCTGGCTCTCTAGGAATACAACACGACAAACTCTCCAAAAAGGACTACGTGCACACTCATAATACGAAATTCCTCTCACCGTTGAAGAGAATTGGACTGGTGGAAGAAGGCACTGGGTTGGACAGAGTTGGAGACGAACGAAGAATGCAGCAACGGAAAGTGAAACGAAGGGGTCCTTGCATCAGCTGATGGACGCGTGCTCTTTTGTTGGATGCCCAACGAACTCTCCTTACGTCACTGGAAATCTCGCTTCTCATTGGCCCACGTCAGCACCAGGCTCCCTCCCTTCATATCAGGGGTGTGTTGCCATGGCGAGGATGATGTACGAAAGCCCCCAACCCACCCAACAGACTCGAGCACTCGCGGCCTACACCTCGCTACCCTCACTCACTCCCTCATGCATGCATGCATGCACGCACTTCCTCTCTACTCGCTCATTCACCGTAAACACGCTGACGTAACACGCCTCACGAGCGCTAAAGCTTTACGCAAGGGAGAATTTAAAGGTCTCTCTCGAGCTGAGAGCTTCTGCCGAAGGCAATTGTTCAGCTTATGGGTTCGTTAGGTGGTTCGGGAAGGTCGGGGATGTTATTGTATTCAAAGAATGTGGATTCAGGTGAAGCCCGTTCATGTACCATCCACGTTGAAGACACATTGAGAAGTGTTTCCCATTTTGCTAGGAGCACTCTATTGATGCACTATTCCCTGTATGCACCCCATACAACGACGTAGATGGGGCTGATTCTGGTAGATGTGAAGCAGCTAAGTAAGCGCGGCTGTACAAAAAAGGGGATGGAGCTCGAATTCCGGCGCACAGTGGGCTGTGCGGGGGGGTCAGGCAATAACAGGGTAGTGCAGGAAGAAATCTTAAAGTCAAGACGTCCCCGCACAGCGTCTTTCAAGGAAGTATGCAATGTTTCACTGATTTGAACCCCAATTCTTTGCAAAATCAATCTCGCAATTCCACAGATTTACTCTTTCCTTCAGCCAAATAGATCTCATGCGCTACTTTGCTCATAATGCTATAAGTAGCCATTTTTGAAACATACATATATCTTGTCATTCATGTTGCTACAGCTTGCTGAAAATAAACTCCCCGCGGTTTTATTACTAATACAAGTACCAACTTCCGGGAAGAAGCAGAATAGTGCCGTCTAATAATGCCAAAGAAGATATAGCCCTGTAAAGTCAGAAAAGTGCGAATTTTTCGTCATCCCTGGACAGGGGCGGATGCAGAAATTTTTCATAGGGGGGGCGGTTCCCAAGTTCCTACCTATCCCCCCCCCCCCTCTGCCTACCACCATTCCTCGTCCTTTCGCCTCTTTTATTTTTCGTCTTGGGGTAGAACATGAGTACCTATTTCATGGGCTCCAATAAAATTAAATGCAGATGCTATTAAGAAGAAATAAATCAAATGCTAACCTGGCCATAGGGGGGGGGGGGCGGTCGGCCCCCCCTCCCCGCCCCTGTCCCTGGAACTATACCCTCCTGTGACTTACAGGGGATGAGACCACCAGCTGCAAATGATGCATCCTTTTTGTTAGGACATTATCTCACTCTGGGGTATAAGGCAAATCGAGATTAACGCAGTCTTTCAAGATTCACCATTTTTAAAAAATCGGTCAGATCTTTGACAATATTGAGGAAAATTTTTATGTTGTCAATTTGACAGTATCAAAACTGTATATTTGTTCGCCCCATCGACAAAATATTATTAAATTTTCACGAGCCTGGGTTTCTATGTTTGTGGAAAAATTTTTTGGGACAAATCCGAGGTACTGGATTTTTTGTCCAATTATTGCCTGCTAACCCACTGTGGGCAGAAATTTCGTTGGTGAGAATAGAAGCTGACATACCAGGCACTTCTGGAGTCATATAATCAAGGAAAACGCTACAATGCTTCTTCAATGAAGGTTTTTTTCCCCCCATTTATGCAGGAGAGAATATATACACACTGTTCACAGATGGAAGTCAAATTCAGTCGGAAAACAATTAAAATCCAACAACAGCTTCCTTGCATGTATTGAGCGTCACATTAGCGAGCAGAGAAGGAAAGAAGGAAGGCATTTCGTCTTGATATCACAGTATTTGAATACAGTGTGAAACTTAGTTAATGATGTCGCCCAGGATCATTCTCTGGATGATGTCTTTGCAGCCATCGAACACCCGTCGAATGTTGTTCGTGTCCACTGCACACGTGAAGTGCGGGTAACAGAAGTGTTTTCCTTCTGGATCACCGAAGACCGTCTGCCATCCGGGTCTGGTTCGCGATTGCCCTTTCGGCATCACGATTCTCTGCAACATGAACACAAGGGTACGCCTTAGGCACGACTGTCAAAATGCATGCAAAAATGGCTGGATTTCGGGGCTAACGAATCCCCGTTTTCAGGAGGGTAACATGAGACTTTAGAAACATGAGCAACGATTCGATTATGCTAATCTGAGGCAAGCATGATGAAAATCCCACACAGTAATTTTGTTTTACATTAAAACTTACTTTAAAATTATCGCTTGCCTGTATGAATTTCGACAGAATTGCAAGAGACCAATGGCTCTCATGAAGCCAAGGTGCAACTAGTTGGTAACTGACTTCCGAATTCGATATGTACGTGTATGTTGCCGCGATTAGTCGGAAAGGGCTCAGAAGTAAAAATGTGCCTCGCCCCGGAATGTAATTTTTTAGGAAATGAGAAGAGAGAAAAACAGTTTCCCAACGGCAAAATAAAATATTTAGTCGCAGCCACTTGGCACATGACACCTCTTTTGTGCGCCGACTTTCTCTAAACAAATTTTTATCCTTGCAAGTCAAACATGAGCCACCTGCAAGTTTGTATCTAAAACCAAGGCTGTGCTTCACAGTGCTTCACCTCAGAACCGTTCTTGTCCGAGATAGAGTATCCCCCTTTTCCAGAAGACACGTTGAGCCCAAATGGAATGAATGCCTAAATAATCCGGCTCTGAAAAACCATCATCCTAAGCCTGTTATCAAAGAGGAGCGTGATTCTTCCTTTTGCACAATTTCTTCGCCAAAGATAAAAAATTCCAAAATTTTAGATGATAAACATTCCATGTAAGAAGAGTAGGACGCCGTAAAATACTGGCAAAAAATCGTAAAGTCCTTCATTACTTTTAATTGTAAAATCAGCGGGTGTTACCATCGATTAGAACAGACCTCTCTCTCCGTTGGAAGGGAAGAACCGCTGGAAGGGGTTATGCAGTGAATATGAAGGGAGAGACAGGGGCCAAGGAAATACAACCCCAATCCACCCATATGACCTTGATCACTCGGCACCTAACTCCCTCAGCTCACCTGTTCGCTTCGAACTCGATACGTACAGGTGATGAGGTGCAGCATTTCCTTCTCTTCTTTGATTTTATTCCATTTCTTGCACAGATGGTTTGGGAAGTCGAGTGTCGTTAGATGAAAGTCAAATCCAGCGAGGAAAGTGTGAGCCATGACGAGCCGATAGCAAAGCACAGAAGGTCGAATGCAATAGATAGGTTGTGCAGGACTTTTTTACGTTGCCAACATAAGGAGCAGTAATTTTGACTCGATCGCTCCATCTGAATTCCTCCGAGTAATGGCGTCAGTCAAAACTTGATGATGTCGAGCGTTTTTCAGCACATTCAAACCTCAGAAACGAGAAATAATGAGGATGACAAAAAACCCTGTCACTATCGGCGTCATGGCATGGTTCTAGCATAGAGAGTATAACTAGAGGCGACACTCCGCTCGAATCCCATTCATTGACAGGGTCACAATATAGATGTCGCTGTCGATCCTCCACCTAGCGGACGCACATCAACAACTCCTCCATGGCCGAGCAGTGAACTCAACGAGACACGCGTGTTACGTTGATGCATCCCTTTGGGCCGAATTCCCGAATGAGTCGATTCCTGATTTCGCTGCCACGAAGCACGCCTCAAGGAAGTGTTGTTGATAACATGCCACCAGATGTCTCTGTAATATTTCGACCCTCCCCACCCCTCGGAGTGTCGCCTCTAATTACACTCTCTATGGTTCTAGGTTAGGGTAAGTGTGAAGAGGCCTATGGCCGAATGCTGAGACCCCCTTTTTAATTAACCGTCCTTTAAGAATCCATGGATTCCTATGGGAGAAAAAGAGCTCTTTAACCTAAAGGCCCCTTTATCTCCCCTAAATGAGATTCGTTCATTCAGGCCTTAGTTTCTCACATTCACACCCTGGGTCGAGATCGAGCGATCATCCCCCACGTTTAAGCTAGTCCTGGGTCTGTCCACGGTGTCGGACGTGACATCTTGAGTAATATGCTTAGAATACAAAATGCATTTAACTATATTATATATGACGAATCAGCATATAAAGGCTATAAAAATTTGCTTTTGACTGAAAATTCAATAACCCAAAGTCTTGCACTCTCTCTTTTGTTAGAGGTGTACCCATGAGCAAAGAAAAGTGTCAGACGTGACATTTCGTGAACCCTCAAGTTAGTCACTTGCTCTAATGTTCACATATCTGTCACCGAGCGGACCCTAATGGTTTAGTTTCATGTTCATTCTATAGATTGAATGAAAGCCTGGAATTAGTGTAAGTCACCCCAAGATTACAACACTCGAAACAGAAAGTAAGCCTATTTTATGATGGTGTCAGATGTGACATGTTCTGAAAATGTATTTTTAAACGAGAAGTCTGTACATGTCTTTTAATTTTATTTTAAAGATATCATTCAAATGTGAGCAATTGACATCTACTCTTCACACCTGAGCGGATTTGAAATTATCAGTATGCATGGAAAGCCCACGCTGGCATCTGTTCCAGTAGTCCAATTCAGTCCCTCCAGATTTGCATTTTCATCCCATTTTTTAGTATCATGAGAATGGTATGAATAATATATCATAATCATGACTAATTATTTCATTTTTCAATGTAATATTCTCTTTCATTCATGTCTTCTGGGAAAAGAGATGATGAACTTCTGTGGCGAAAGTAATATTTGCATATTTAGGAAAATTTCCGGCTAAAATCCTAGGACCACTTGGCGTGAACAGACCCTCCTATTTCGCTGTTGAGAAGTACTGTATCTTTGACGGGAGCATTCTGATCTGCTGCCTAATAGTTACTTACAGCTAGAGCCAAACCAGCATTGCGTATGGTTCTTCTCCTCTGATGGGATATTTCATGCAGTCGATGTTGTAAGAAGTGTCGTATTCCTTTTTCTCCCACCTGTAAAACGATCTGAATGACACTAGATGATGACTCTTGCTTCACAGGTAGCCTCCATTGTTCTCTCTTTCTCCGTCATGAGGGATTAACAATGTCAACAACTAACTTATCAATAGGTTCATCGATAACATTTAGTCGATGCCACCCTGGTCCCTCCACGTGTTGTCGAAGTTGGAGGATATTTCTGTCAAAGTTTTAAGTATCTTCGCACTTTTCACGCGTGATTTTGTGAGGCGCTTCTTATCTCCCAACGACGAAGAATCCGGGATTCTGCGGGCACGCAGTTCGCATTTGTGTAATTTATGGCGTGGGTAGAAGTGTCAAAACAATTCCCGCCTATATTTGCGACACGAATCTAGGCCAAGGGCTCATCCCTCCCTCTCTTTCCAAGAGGGACTTACCCCACTAAAGCAATTCAACAAATTTCCTTTGACGAGGACATGTCAATCTACTGCAAGGCTACTTCTTGTTTGTATTACTTCCCCATCCTGATTTTATTCTGTAAGCCATGAAAATGTCTAGCCTCCCTTGTGAGTTACCACGAGACGAGGCGGCAATCTGGTCACTAAACTTCTGCCATGTGCTCACGATTCTACGAGTAAAACAGGGTCCGGGTGAATCCTGTCAAAGTGAAGGGCGTTTGAAGGGCGAAAAGCCTAGATTATTTTTGTCGGCTTTGCTCTCAGTATTGCCAACGTGCTTTTTTGGGATAATTATTTTAAATGTAGAATCACAGAAATCTTCAATTTATACTTTTTAATGAGAGCCTGTTACTGAGCCTTTTACCGCAATAAGGTAGAAAAAAAAAGCCTCATCCTCATCTAAAACGTTATATGATCTTGGATGCAAATATATGCAATATTGATAGGGTTTCCCTATCTCTTGAGGAAAAGTTCTTCTGTATGCAAATTTTTTTTTAGTGCTGTATTTTATGTCTGTATTCGCTATTAGAGTACGGGTGGGACGAAAGTACAGAAATAAACTTGAACATATAATGACACCGACAAGTGCCCAATTTGATGCATGCTATGTACACTTTTTAGATTTGACTTCGTAGTATAACGGGAAAAATCACGCTCAGTAGTAGCATTCATTAAACTCTGCATGGCAGCAATTTTCCTTCAAAACGTGTTGAACTTTCAGGGGATGTAGATGGAACAAACAGGTTCCAATGGGACAACTTATCAGTTTATCTACAATATGAGCATTTTTACTTTCATAAACATAAGCTGAAACGTTTATCAGTGATTTTCCAATATTTTTCACTGATACTGATCATATACCGCGTGGTGCAAAAAAAGCGTCCTATTCGAGGCTTGCAGAATTCGAGGCTTTGCACAGAACTTGCAAAAAAGCTAAATTTGTAAATAGGTTGCATCGCATAGAATACGCAAAAAATAAAATTAGTATAATGAAAGAAGATCTAGAGCAGGGGTGCTCAAACTTTTTGAGCTTGCGGGCTGCATGGACAGTAACTTCCTTCTCGAGGGCCGCTCGATTATAAACCGATCATATATAAATGTATATTAAGAAAGACGGAGGCAAGCCCTCCTCCTCCATTTTTTTTAAATTACAGACTCTGTTTATCGGAGACAATGTCAACGAGAAACATGGCGTTGGCGCTTTGATCGCATCACTTAGGAGATGTCTGGTTCTCAGCCTCGAAAAAGCCACTCTTAGCACGACTCGTAGATGAGCATCAGTCACTGTGCCTCTCGAGTAGTCTTTATTCAACTTCATGATGAAGGTCTATTCACAGATTTATGTTGATGTAATTACGCTAGTCATCTTTTGGGCGTGGTGAATACATTTTGGAAGCGACTCCCACCTATGCATTCACGGAACTCGAGCAGAGACTGTGAATCTGTTTTTCACTTCATTGATCACGATTGCAGCTCGATAACTTCCATTTGCATTTTCCCAACATTGACATTGAACGGAAAACTGAATAGCTGAATTTCTGCCTCAAGCTCAGAGAAATCCTGAAATCGTTCCTTGAATTTGGCCTGAAGATGCTCTCCAAGTAGCAGTTTCATTTTGAAAGCACTAACGGGTGAATGTAAGTCCTAGGTGAAGCAATCACGGCCTTGAAGAAGTTTGTTCAAGTCATTCAGATGAACTGTTACGTCTGCTAGAAATACCAAATCGACCAGCCGTCTCGGTTCAGACAAAACAATCGAAGGATTTCCGTATTCCTCGAAGAACAATTTTCTTTCTTTTCGGAATAGTACGCGACGTTTGGAGTCCATGAACACATTTCCTCATGAAGATGACAGGACAAGTCTTCAATCCGTCTTGTGGTCGTTGGGCGCGAGGGGATGCTCTCAGTTTGAAATTCCTCACTTATTTCATGACGCAGGACCTCCAAAATCTTTACGATGCATGATGTCTTAACAAACTCTCTTCCTGAAAATGACCCGCCATGTTCAGCAGTCAAAAGAGCTACCTCACAGCAACCAGGAGTCACCTTTCCTCGAGCAGAAGTTATGCCGCTGAATAATACAAGCCTTGAGCTTTGCTGCTAATCCCTCAGCTGGTACCTTTCATGTGACGCTGCGTGCTTGGACAAGTATTACCTCTTAAGATCTCCTTCAGAACAGGAACTTGTCTCTTGATGAGTCGAGCACACACAGCCTTGCCGTAAGCTTTTAAAAATAAAATAACTTCCGGGTGATTTTTACATTTTCGGCACTCGCAATAAATTTCCCTTCTTTTGAGGTTTGGCATGATTCAATGAAATTGAAAAAAAGGAGAAAAATAAGTATCCCGCGCCTAAAACGATTAAAACTGGTTCCGCTGGAGATCAATGAACGGAATGACGCTGAATTTTAAATGGCGCTTTTGCTAAACGAATCCTGGGATGTCCAAGGAAAGCACAGAGCGGGGAAAAATACTCCCGAGATTTTGGCGAACAAGGCATGAGTAATAACTAGGTATCCCCGAAGAGAAACGGTACAGACCTTACAAACACCCAAAAATATGCGCTACATGTTCTATTAACCCTTTCAGTCCTGAATAATGTTCTAGGCATGGAAAATATGTCATTCACTTTTTGGCCTTCAACAAGCCTTACGTAAAGTAAAAGTGCTTTTAAATTGCTTTTCTTAAGTAAAATTAAATATTTATTTTCAATTACTTAAATAAATTAATGAAAGCGTGCTATTTAATTAGTTCAGCTAGTACTCGTATCCCCGTTTTACGTCCTGTTTCCCAGTATTTCTGTACTACTTTCCATTATCCCAGCAAACAAGGCT